TCTCCCTTCTCTCTCTCTTGTTTGATATTGTGAAGTATGTGAAAATCATTTGAAAAATAGTTTTGAAGTTAAAAAAGCAAGTTAAAAAACAAAACAACTTCACGGGATTTTTTTATTTTTATTCTTTGAATTTCTGATATATATATATATATATATATATATATATATATATATATAGTTATAAACATTGTATGGTGAATCAGATTTTTCTTATTATTTTATTTTTTTAAAATTTTGATAGTACAAGCAGCGATAAGCGAGTCGGTGGCGTACATGAAGATAGACCTGAAAGTATCCGATCTCCATCTTAATATTGTGGCGGGGGCCATGAGCGTCGCCACGATGTTTGGATTGGTGACGGCGAGATGGATTTCTGATCGGTATGGCCGCCGTAATACGATTGTGGTGGCGGGGGCTATGTATTTCGTTGGCCCCCTTGTCATGGGTTTTGCCCGGAACTATGCAGTTTTCTTGGTCGGCCAAGTCATTGCCAATTTGGGCGCCGGCTTCGCTAGCATGATTGCCCCCATGTACGTGACAGAGATTTCTCCTCTCTTCTCCCGCGGCTTCTACGCCTCCTACCCTCAGGTGCTCACTCATTCATTTTCCTTTCTTTTATTCTTAATTTTGTAGCTTCCTTTATCACTTTTTCTATTTCTCATCAAATTTTTGTCTTGAACTTATTTCGGATGTTCATCAGCATTGGCAACCAGGTGGTCAATCTGACCAGCTATTACTTCTCCAAACACCGCCCCAGCCACGGGTGGCGTTGGATGCTTGCCACGGGAGCCGTCCCCTCGGTGCTGCTTGTTTTTGGAATTTTTGCCTTGCCGAAATCTCCCCAGTGGCTCGTCATGCGAGGTCGCTTGCGCGATGCCAAGCGCATCCTCGCCAAGACCTCCAGGTCGGAGGAGGAGGCAGCGCTCCGGTTTGCCGACATCAAGAAGGCTGCCGGAATACCTGAAGAGTTCGACGACGACGTCTACACGATCGCCGACCAGGACACCGGAGTATGGCGAGATATACTCCACCCGACCTGGTCTATGGTCCATATGCTACTATGTGCCGTTGGAATCCGGGTCGTCCAACGGGCATGTGGCATGGACACCTTGGCGCTCTTTAGCCCAAAGGTTTTGGAGATGTGGCATCACCACGTCCGTCGGGAAGCTTCTTGCAAATATGGTGCTTGACATAGCCAAGATATTGGTCTTTCTCCTTGCCCGGCTACCTCGCCGATTGGGTCGGGCGGCGGCCACTGTTGCTTGAGCAAAGCATGGGCGGCGTGCATGTTTGTCGGACTGTTCCTCACCTTGAAGGTCTCGTGGGCAGTGGAAGTCTCGGCGATTCTTTACGTCATCTTCTTCTCGATCGGGCTAGGACCAATCACAGACGTGTATTGCATGGAGATCATCCCATTGAGGATGCGTGCGCAGGTTTAATCAAGATAATGTATAATCAAAGGGAGATATACGTGCAACACATGTGCAACATTCGTGCAACATGCGTGCAATCATGAAAGATTACAGCTAATAAGAGCCAAGTAAAATTTCTTTTTCGCAACGAGAGACTAACTTGTTTTTCAATGTGTACATAAAAAAGCTTAATAGTGGTGTACATGATCATAAAACATTAAAGAGATTGATAGTCCATAATTCATATCCTCCGTATACCTAATGTTTACTTTTCTCATTTAGTAATTCTTAGATAGTAATTCGTAGCTATTATTAATAATGAAGAGATGTGAAAGAGAGAAATGTGAAATTTTGTGTATATTGTGATGTTTATATTAACGAAGAATACATTAGCCTATTTATAAGTTTTATTAGATTACTATTCTAAGATAATATCTCAATCAAGATAATGTATAATCAAAGGGAGATATACGTGCAACACATGTGCAACATTCGTGCAACATGCGTGCAATCATGAAAGATTACAGCTAATAAGAGCCAAGTAAAATTTCTTTTTCGCAACGAGAGACTAACTTGTTTTTCAATGTGTACATAAAAAAGCTTAATAGTGGTGTACATGATCATAAAACATTAAAGAGATTGATAGTCCATAATTCATATCCTCCGTATACCTAATGTTTACTTTTCTCATTTAGTAATTCTTAGATAGTAATTCGTAGCTATTATTAATAATGAAGAGATGTGAAAGAGAGAAATGTGAAATTTTGTGTATATTGTGATGTTTATATTAACGAAGAATACATTAGCCTATTTATAAGTTTTATTAGATTACTATTCTAAGATAATATCTTAATCAAGATAATGTATAATCAAAGGGAGATATACGTTCAACACATGTGCAACATTCGTGCAACATGCGTGCAATCATGAAAGATTACAGCTAATAAGAGCCAAGTAAAATTTCTTTTTCGCAACGAGAGACTAACTTGTTTTTCAATGTGTACATAAAAAAGCTTAATAGTGGTGTACATGATCATAAAACATTAAAGAGATTGATAGTCCATAATTCATATCCTCCGTATACCTAATGTTTACTTTTCTCATTTAGTAATTCTTAGATAGTAATTCGTAGCTATTATTAATAATGAAGAGATGTGAAAGAGAGAAATGTGAAATTTTGTGTATGTTGTGATGTTTATATTAACGAAGAATACATTAGCCTATTTATAAGTTTTATTAGATTACTATTCTAAGATAATATCTCAATCAAGATAATGTATAATCAAAGGGAGATATACATGCAACACATGTGCAACATTCGTGCAACATGCGTGCAATCATGAAAGATACAAATAATCAACATAAAATTTCATAATTATCTCTTACATAAGAAAATATCTTATAAAAAGTGATAAATATCTCGAACAGTGTCGTGTTGATATGTTTCACAGTGTTACTAGTTTTCGCCGTCTTCCTTTGCCGTCTATCAGAGCCATTTGGCGAAGATGAGAGTTTTGTGCCGTTCTTATTACGGCTCTTTGGAGGAGGAGAGGAAAACGAAGATGCAGATGTGTTGGCTCTGTCAGAGCCATTTGGCGAAGATGAGAGTTTTGTGCCGTTCTTATTACGGCTCTTTGGAGGAGGAGAGGATGACGAAGATGAAGATATGTTGGCTCCTGCTGCTCGAGTCAGCGAAATAGAAGAAGAAGTGCACATTGAAGCGAGTGATGGTAGCCACCAGTCTCAGACAGAGTCGAATAGGGATGAGAACGACGATGATCAGCACATAAGGTCCGTTTTCACATCCATGCTCATTATTTCTCATAAAACGAGTATTGACGGTTGTTATCTCTTAATTATTTATTACCTAGCATTTTAGCGGAAAATATATAGCTAGACCATATGGTTTTCTTCAACTATTAAATACTACTAGCTAGATTAATCTGGTATGCCTTTTTTTGCTAGACAAGGAACGATCGAGGACTTCCACCCTCCGGCAAGGTCGGTCTGCAAGAAGCATGTCTGCCTCTACACCCTTGCCGCCTGCATAACCTCCTTTTCGCTAGCTTATGGTTGGTCTCCCCCCTCTCTCTCTCTTGTTTGATTTTGTGAAGTATGTGAAAATCATTTGAAAAATAGTTTTGAAGTTAAAAAAGCAAGTTAAAAAACAAAACAACTTCACGGGATTTTTTTATTTTTATTCTTTGAATTTCTGATATATATATATATAGTTATAAACATTGTACGGTGAATCAGATTTTTCTTATTATTTTATTTTTTTAAAATTTTGATAGTACAAGCAGCGATAAGCGGGTCGGTGGCGTACATGAAGATAGACCTGAAAGTATCCGATCTCCATCTTAATATTGTGGCGGGGGCCATGAGCGTCGCCACGATGTTTGGATTGGTGACGGCGAGATGGATTTCTGATCGGTATGGCCGCCGCAATACGATTGTGGTGGCGGGGGCTATGTATTTCGTTGGCCCCCTTGTCATGGGTTTTGCCCGGAACTATGCAGTTTTCTTGGTCGGCCAAGTCATTGCCAATTTGGGCGCCGGCTTCGCTAGCATGATTGCCCCCATGTACGTGACAGAGATTTCTCCTCTCTTCTCCCGCGGCTTCTACGCCTCCTGCCCTCAGGTGCTCACTCATTCATTTTCCTTTCTTTTATTCTTAATTTTGTAGCTTCCTTTATCACTTTTTCTATTTCTCATCAAATTTTTGTCTTGAACTTATTTCAGATGTTCATCAGCATTGGCAACCAGGTGGCCAATCTAACCAGCTATTACTTCTCCAAACACCGCCCCAGTCGCGGGTGGCGTTGGATGCTTGCCACGGGAGCCGTCCCCTCGGTGCTGCTTGTTTTTGGAATTTTTGCCTTGCCGGAATCTCCCCAGTGGCTCGTCATGCGAGGTCGCTTGCGCGACGCCAAGCGCATCCTCGCCAAGACCTCCAGGTCGGAGGAGGAGGCCGCGCTCCGGTTTGCCGACATCAAGAAGGCTGCCGGAATACCTGAAGAGTTCGACGACGACGTCTACACGATCGCCGACCAGGGCACCGGAGTATGGCGAGATATACTCCACCCGACCTGGTCTATGGTCCATATGCTACTATGTGCTGTTGGAATCCAGGTCGTCCAACAGGCATGTGGCATGGACACCTTGGCGCTCTTTAGCCCAAAGGTTTTGGAGACTGATGGCATCACCACGTCTGTCGGGAAGCTTCTTGCAAATATGGTGCTTGACATAGCCAAGATATTGGTCTTTCTCCTTGCCAGCTACCTCGCTGATTGGGTCGGGCGGCGGCCACTGTTGCTGAGCAGCATGGGCGGCGTGCATGTTTGTCGGACTGTTCCTCACCTTGAAGGTCTCGTGGGCAGTGGAAGTCTCGGCGATTCTTTACGTCATCTTCTTCTCGATCGGGCTGGGACCAATCACGGACGTGTATTGCACGGAGATCATCCCATTGAGGATGCGTGCGCAGGTTTACACAATCGGCCTTGGCGTTAAACAGGGGGTGAGCGTAATATTATCATATACGTACTTGTTGATGTTCAAGGCGATCAAGCTCAATGGGGCTGCCTTTTTGTTCGGGGGGTTCGCCATTGTCGGTTGTGTCCTATTTTATATCCTAATGCCCGAGACGAGGGGGGAAACGTTGGACGAGATCGGACAGCTGTTTGGTAGGTTGAGGAGGACCGCGGCGGCAAATGATGTGGAGCTGCAAAGGACGGAGGCTGCGGTGAGCAGCGAATAAGGAAGCATTACATGAAAAGAGCAAATAAATGGAATAAGGTTAAAACTGTGGCGCCGACGCAGAAAATAAATCCGACCATCGTGGGGGTCGATGATCCTTTTAAAGTGAGAAGGCAGATGAGCATAAGATTGATATAATATCGGAGGAAGCTTGTTTTAGATAAGAGAAAGAATGTAGATGACGAGAATGGCAAGGATGGAAAATAAAATTCAGAAGGTACTGTCGACGCTAAACTTACCAGCAAGGCTTTAGTCTGGGCCTCCAATGTCTTACCAGTTGATGACATTGTCTCGGTATGTCCTTTTCATTGATCTGATTCTTTACTAATCTATATATGGGTCTTGCTGTCCATCTTAACAAAGGTAATAATGTCCAATTGTCAAACCTCTCCCTACTTGGACACTCGAGAAGGAAGCGCATGTTCATACCTAATGCTGCTTCACATTTCTTAGAAAGTTTGAAATAGCTAATGCTTTCCCATCAAGTAATTTTGAGGACTTTATTATGAGGCTTATGACCGAAGATAAGGGCGGACAGTTGACACCTTTGCTCTTCCTCTGTTTGTGAATCTTTTGAGTTCATACGGCAGACATGGCTACTATTCTCATGCTGGTTCACAGCGAGCGATTTGTCCACTAATAAGTTTTGCTCCTTTGTTAGAGCTGAATAATCATCCAGCTTTTGTGTTAATCCTTCACATGAACATTTGCATGTTGCTCTATTTTAGAATGTTTAAGGTCGCAAATGATATGCTTATGTGGTAGGTCCAACAGCTTGTGTGAGAGAATGGATGTGTTCTAACACTGACAGTGCTTATTTTCACGCAGGAAAGATGATGATTAAGCTTGAGGTTTTAAGCAATCAGAAGAGAATGAATGACAATATCAAATCTACTAAGCGCAGCCCCACCACCTCTAGTTTGGAGTGTAAACTTGATGAGCTGCGAAAGGAAATCTCTTCTATTCATGGGGGAGTATTACCCCAGTCGGTCTTGACAAAAGTATGATTAGCGCCAGAAAACCCAGCTCAATAGCAGAGGTGACTATTTTTTGTACTGAGAAATGATTAGCGACAGATAAGTATATTAGCGCCAAAAATCTGGTAACTCAGTGTTACCGTCCCCGTTACAGGTTTATGGAATGCTGATGGGTTGATCTATGTATGAGGGCATGCTAATGAAAACAAGCATCCTTTTTCCCTAACTAGAGCTGGATTGGTTGGTAGCCAAAGGTAGGCAGCTACTTGGACTGCCGATAACCTTTCAAACTGGGAGCACCTGCACATGAGCATCTCGATGGTACTTCAGCTGGTAAGTGAATAATGGAGGTTATGCTGCTTGTTTTTGCGGGATGAAATTCCATTTGCATTTGTTTTGCGCTGCTTATTGCATTTTCCTGTCCAACTTCCATCTTTTATGACTTATTAATTTGATTTCAAGGAAATGACGGTACCAAATTTGTCACTTCTTTTGAATGCGATACTAGAGTTATGGTTAGAACTTGTAATATGTTATTTCTGGTCCTTCCATTGTGTAGCTGTGGATTGGCCGAGTGTATTCTTCTATTTATCGTACTTTTGTTCGGTAATTTTGCATTGGACATTGAAAACTCAGATAAGGGTGTGCAACTAGTTTGATTTAACTTGAGAATAGGCTGGAACCGGTGTTATGCTTACAGGGAACAGGTCCCTGGTCTCAATAGGACAGTTCCACGGTTGACCCTGCTTTTAATCAGTTTTCTTTCTTCATAAAAGTTAGCAATTACTTACTAAGGTTCGGTCAATCCAACCTGAAAACACATCCACATGATCACTCAACAGAGATTAGTTCTCACGCTTAAAAGACGTGATTTCATATTACACAACGTGATTCGAAATTTTTACACAAAAAGAAGAAGAGAGAGAAGTTGGCTGGTTTCTAACTGGCGTGTGATTCTAGTTTGTGGCCTTGAATCGATCCACTTGCGAATCTATCACCCCTGGACTTGTTTTTTGGTGGTGAATGACAATGTCGCAGATTCTAATCTTTCCCTGCCGAAAAATATGGAGTTATATGTTTTTACTTTTCTATCTTCACAGTTTTTTTTTGGTTGTCATAAACTTCTTATTTTGGTTTCCCAATGCTGTATTGCATCAGCTGGATAGTTCTGCTACATGGGAAGATCACGTGGCTGATGAAGGTCCTTTGCAAAAGGTATGTAATTGCTTTGTAGCTTTAATTGCTTTATCTTATAATACAGTTTAAATTGTTTTTTTTTTCTGAATATCAATACTAATTAAATTGCTGACTGTGCTTAGACAACTTGTGAGTATTAGCAACTCAAGGAAACGAGATACTTGGGAGTGAATTGATATGGTATTCGGGTTTTCTTTTTCTTGCCATTCAGCATACTAAATAGGATATCAGGGAAAAACTAGATTTTTTCTGGTGAATTTAATTTAACTACAAGGCACCAAGGGGGTCCAAACCTGAGTACAAGAAGAGATCAAGGAAACAAACGAAAGGGAGCTCAAATATAGGACAAATCATCTAATGTCAATCGGTGCATTTACATCCACGTGCCTGTTTCCTCTATTCCAAAGGTTTTGAGTCTAGTCTCTGTCAAACGCTCTCTTTCGCTGATGAAATCTTTGTGTTTAAGGCATCGCAGATACCTTCCTTTGGTGATAGGAAATGTTTTTGGAGACCTTCAGAGGGTCTCAATTATCTATATTGAATATGTTTCGACAGCTTTGGCGAAATGGTTTTCCTCTTTCATGTGTTTTCTTCTGCAAGTTGCACCTGTCATCTCGTTGATGGAACTTCTTGTTTACAGCCTTTTCTTCTTCACACTTCATGATTTTCTAAAACAAACGAGCAAGAATTGTTTTCTTGAATTGGTTACTGGCCCAAGCCAAGTCCAGCTCTTTCTTTCGTGCTTTAGTACCTACCGTTTGTTTCTAGGTTGAAGTGGTTTTATCTGCTGATGGAATGTTCATGCAGACGTCATTTGACTTTTCAAGTGCGCCTTGGATTGTTTGTAAAAATAATCGGAGCATGATTTTGTATATGCATGTCTTTTCTTCTGTATTTGGGTCCTTTTGTCGTTTTGTCAGCTGTGGTGGAAATAATACTAGTTAAAGCTACATGTTTTTCACATGGGAAAAAGAACCACTCCCGTCTGCCAGTGGTCTGGCCATTTGTGCCAGACAAGACTTTGAGATATTAAGGTCGATGATTGTGTTTATTTCGTGTAAAACTGATAATATGAGAATCTGAACCGGTTGATATGCCACATGCTGCATTAGTCGTCTTTTAACACATTTGATTTTGGGACCCTTAGAATAGAGAGGATACTGAGTTCCTTGTATGATAACTATCCTTATATCTTTGTATCCCTGCTTCCAATTCAATGCTGAGTTCCTTGTATGACTGTGTTATATGTTGTAAGATGCTTAAATAGTTTCTTCAATCGGCTCTTCTCGTATCTTGTAATCGATGATAATTAATTAGATATTGTTATAGGATGCAAAGCATGGGATAACTACAGGCGTATCAGTGCTTGACAGGGCAATGACAGCTTGGGCTCCTGCATCTAGAGATTCTAAACCTGAATATTTCAGCAGGCCAGGACTTATTTTCCATCGAAGTACAGGGAGGGTGGTGTCCTGAAAAGAGCTGGGCATACAGAGGCTTCTGTCTACCTTGCTGTATTGGCTGGATTGGAACCTGTGGCAGTTCTCAGTGGGGAAGCGGATGATGATGGCTCCATGGCAAGATTACCTAAGCTTCGCGAGTTTGCACAGCGGGAGAACTTGAAAAATTGAATCTATTGCTGGTCTAATCAGGTAAGCATTCTCTTCTCAGCAATCCAATGCAAATACTTTTCGGGGCAAGTACTTCCTGATCCAATCCAAATTTCAGCTGCAACTTTCACTTCTTAAGTATTGGCGCTTTTGGCCAAAGACGTTGTCTAAGTAGCATCTCCCCTTTTTGGGAGTGGATACATTAGGAGTTGAAGCCTTGGAACCCTTGGTGCGGTGGGAAAAAGAGTCTCTTAAAGGAGGCTGATGGGCTGTTGTTTTACGTAGCAAAAAGGAGTGAAGCATAAGCTATTTTGGTCTATCCACTTCTCGAGTTTCTTTAATGCTTAATCTTGCGGTTTGTTATTCCGCTCATGCAGATAAATGGTTTTGGGTTCTGAAGAGTTGTTTCTCGCAATTTTTTATGTGTATGGTGTTGTTAGGTTAGTATTTGTGGTTCATCTCTTACTCGATGTTTAACTTTTAGAGATTGGTTACAACTGACCAGGATTCTTGTCAAGTCATGTCTATGAGCCCGTGACGGCAGTTATTTCTATGGACACTTCCTTGTGTTTACCTTGTTTCAAAACCTATGTCTGAATGTCAGTGGACTGTTCACTGAGGTAGAGCTTGAGGTGTATATAAAAATAGGCAAAAGAACACTACAAGTGTCATAACTTATGTACGGCGCTCACTTTGGTGCCATAAGTTTTTTTTGGATCACTTTAGTGCTAAAATTTTTGAAAAACGATTACTTAATTGCTAAAATTTTTGAAAAACGATCACTTAAGTGCCAACTCCGGTACCGTACACAATTTTTCGCCGGAAATCCGACGTGGCATTTTTTTTATTAATTTCTGAAGCTGACGTGGCTCGCCGGAGATTGGCACTTAAGTGATCGTTTTTCAAAAAATTTAGCACTTAAATGATCGTTTTTAAAAAATTTTAGCACTTAAGTGATCGTTTTTCAAAAATTTTAGCACTTAAGTGATCCAAAAAAAACTTGTGACACTTAAGTGATTGTTTTTCCTCCGACTTGGCACCAAAGTGATCCGAAAAAAAGTTATGGCATCAAAGTGATCTCCGTACACAAGTTATGGCACTTATAGTGTCCTTTTGCCTATAAAAATAGAACTTCCTAATTGACAAAAAAGCGCTTAACTTGTCTGGTATAGTGCAACTTGTATAGTGAGAAGCTCCTACTGATTAAATACATAAATATATACTGCTGGAAAAGAGATAAATTAGTTGAATGTGTTGCATCTGCTGCTGCAAGATTGCCAACAATGTGGGGACCATTCACAGCCATTGCTATAGATCTGTAATAGATGAAATTGAGCACACTGCAATGGTCAAGGTGAGATATATTATAAGTTGATAGCTCAAACCGTTCCTTAGAATTCAGAAACTAATAAACAAATAGTTTCAAATGGATTAATTGTAATTTTTGAGAATCTTGTTTGTGGCAGTGCATTTTTCAACTCAACTTTAATTTTTGCGTCATCTTATGTACTTCCGGTGCATGATTTTGTTTGAGAATAATTTTACTTGAACTGGCTGTCAAGCTTTAGAGGTGAATAATTGCACCACTGAGAAATGGATGGAATCTTATAGGTAGAACTTCACTAAATTTATCTTAGAGAAAATGTCTAATCACGTGTCAATCACAATTTGGAGTACCAAATTTATCTCACTTGCATGACGATGTTGTCTGGACTAGAATTTTTGACATCAGGAGAAATAATTGTCATGATATTAGTGAACTAATGGGCTGCATGCTACCCTCAATGCATTTATGAAATAATTGTAGTTTATGAAATGATTGAAAAGGGGCCTGTATGTGTCTACAATTGATATAGGAATGCCGCACTTTTGATTAATAATGGCATCCTTAGTTTTTCTTATTTTGTGTCCTCCCTTCAGACAGCAATATTTCCCATCATGTGATTCATACTTCATAGTTTGTCGTCTGAACAGGGTGACAATGGAGATGGTCAAGATGTCCTTGCGAGGGTACACTTGGAATGCCTCACAGGAGACATATTTGGATCTGCTAGATGCAACTGCGGTAATGAGGTTGCACTTGCCAATGCAACAGATTGAAGCGGCTGGTAGGGGCATGCTGGTGTACCTCCGAGGGCACAAAGGAAGAGGCATAGGATTGGAGCACAAACTAAGTGCCTATGGACGAAGGGCGCAACCCCGTGGAGCTCGGATTGCCCATTGACTCTAGAGACTATGGCACTGTTGCTCAGGTATTTCTTCCTCAAGTCGGAAACTATACCTGTGGGAGAGGTCCTGCATTCTTAATGGGGTTGATTCATGGCCATTGTCATTATGCTTTGTGGAATGAAGAGGGATTAATAAACTAATGTCATTAATCTGAAATCAAAGGTGATTGAATTTCAGTAATTGTTTCAGAGATTATACATTGTCTGTAGGACTACTAGAGGAAGCTGATGACAAAGCAGAGCTTCAAATTCTCATCTCAAATGGATGGGATATAGCTAGTTTAAAGAATCACTCCATTATCAGACTTTTCATGGTATTTGACGCATTTGTTTTAGTGCTTCACATATTGACTTATACTGCAGATGTTGCGTGACCTGGGAATCAGGACGATGAAGCTGATGGCGAACAACCGTCAAAGTATGTGGGGCTTGAAGGTTATGTCTTGACTATTGCTAGGAGAGTCCCTCCAGTGACTCCAACAACAAAAGAGAACAAGAGATACTTGGAGACAAACTGGTCCAAGATGGGGCAGATCTCTGGTGTGGAATTCAACGGCCGCTTCAGCAATCTCATAAGCAAAAAGGGCAAGCTGAGCAGTACTGTTTGTTGTGATCCGGCTATGTCTGACTCATAGGAGCCGCTGGATAGTTTGACTGCTAATGATTTATCTGGGGGGATACAAGCAAGTTCACTGATGAATGGTGTCATTACCTAATCTGGTCAAGAACTACCCGCTGACCACAAGTTCTAGAAATTTTATGGTGATTCAGTGTTATAATTACTAAGATTCATTCTTGTTCTATTGATGTCGTTCATCCATTTTGTAAGGAGGAAAGGTGAAAGACTAGCCCTCTTACTGAAACTTCCTCTTGTGTAATTAATGGCTCGCAAGATTTATCCTTAATTCGACTTTCGTTGGAATCTATGTGTATTGACATCTAGAGACCATTGCATGGTTCAACACAACAGAGTTAGTGCAGGACATTCATTCTTTCCTTTTCTGTGACCACCTCAATGATAAAAGAAATTACTTCAAGGAATTTACTAAAGTCTTTGTTATAGATCAACTGTCCATTAGGGCAATGGATGAGGATTTTTTTTGACCTTTTATTTTTCGATCCCATGCTGTGCATGAGTTCAATTGATACTTTGTCGAATAAAGACGCAATATGCAAAGAGGTTGGAAATTGAGTACACACGTACCCAGAATTTTGGAAGATGCAATATCCAGGTGTAATGTTCACTATTCTCCGAAAAAACATCAGGAAATACATCACCATTCAATTACTTGCAGCAAAAAGTCTTTCTTTCTTTCATCTGACTAACAAAAAACAAAACATAGTGAAGCAAAGATTTTTCTGTAGACAAACCGAAGTTTACACCCAAGACTTGGCGTTCCTTTTGAAAATGCAGACTTCGAGTTCAATATTATCAATTCTTGCAAGCTCAAACGCATGGACAACTCCTTCCTTCTGAGAAGTTCCTCTCTGAAATGCAGCCCAACCGGCAGAGAGCTTTCCCTGGCCATGTTGTGGGTAGTACATGAGCTTCACTGGCCATGATCCATCCAACTATCTAAGAGATGCGGTTTGCATTCCTCCATTGACGTGTCCCTTTAAAATCCTGCTTGGGACAGTCTGCGGAATTGATTTTTGATCAACTAATGATATATGAGTAAGAACATAAAAGGTGTGATAACTAACACAAGAAATGTTAACCAGACTACATGTGTATAATCTCATAGGCAAACCCGAATCATATAGGAATATGATGGTACCTTAGTAGAAGGTAATAGATCTCATTCCTGTCCAAATTTTGCAAATGAGAACTATTAGCTCGAGATCTTTTCTTACCGCATGTCACTTCAATAGATTATGCGACCGGATAACTACTGTGAATGAAGGATACTACAGCTGGTACTTGTTGGCTGCTTTGAGAGCTGTAGTTACCTGCGAACGTTTAGAAGTAGAACTACAAGAAGCCAGCATGGTAGGGCTCACCTTGTGTTTGGAATTTTCAATCCTACCTGAATCAGTCAGGAAAAGAGCATAAGAAAAAATGATACAAAGTGTATGCTTTACTTATAGGCTAAGATTCACAAACCTTCTGAATCTTGTGGCAGAAGCTTTGCTCCTCGATCAATTTGGAAGCCTTCCGATTTGAAACCCAATCCGAGTACAATTGCACGTGAAATAGTAGCATCATCAACGAGTTCAGATTTCATCACCTTGGAAGGCTTGTGATGATATGGTTTTAGATGCAATTCATCCTTCTCTTTTCTCTTCAGCGAGAAACCATCTAGACTTTGAAGTCCAACCGAGAGATTACAGTGGTCATCAGCATCTCCGACTTTTTTTTTTTTTGATCGAAAGCATCTCCCACTTTAGGCAGGACAAATTCGACGGCGCTTGCTGTTGGCAATCATTAGTGGATAATCTATCTCTGACGCCACTCTTGTCTAATATGAGCACGTGAAAATCCGAGCACACGGGAAAATTGTCAAAAAAGTCCTAAACCTATTGTACGGCGGCCAATTCAGTCTTAAACCTTTTAAATTTGTCAATTCAGTCCTAAACCTTTTTAATTCTTGCCAATTCAGTCCTAAACCTTTTTAATTCTTGCCAATTTAGTCCTTCCGGCCAATTTTGGCCGGCCGACGCTGACATGGCCGCCAGCTGGCGCCGGCCGTCCTGCCAACGCTGACGTGGCAATTTTATTATTATTTTTTTAATCTTTTTTTCTTTTTTTTCTACTTTCTACCCTCTGGCCGGTCCAGCGGCCGGCCAGAGGGGAGGGCCGGCGAGGTCGACCTCGCCAGCCCTCCCCTTTGGTCGGCTGCCGGTCGCCGGACCGGCCAGAGGGTAGAAAGCAGAAAAAAAAAAAAGAAAAAAAGATTAAAAAAATAATAATAAAATTGCCACGTCAGCGTTGGCCGGACGGCTGGCACCGGCCGGCCAAAATTGACCGGAAGAACTGAATTGGCAAGAATTAAAAAGGTTTAGGACTGAATTGACAAACTTAAAAGGTTTAGGACTAAATTGGCCGCCGTACAATAGGTTTATGACTTTTTTGACAATTTTCCCGTGCCCTATGTATTTGAAGACTAAAAAGTGGTCCTCACAAATAGAGTAATGCTCAGCAAATTCGTTCCCTCCCTTTGATAGCCAAACCATATCATCCCATTTTTTCAACTCCACCCTCCAAATTCCACTGTTTGGAACCCACAAACGCACCTTTTTGGGAAGATTCTTGCCATACTTTCTCACAAATTTCTTTGGAATACCCTAATTTTTTTTAACATATGAAGTTATCATTAATACGTAAACAAGCAGTGCCGGATGTATCTTAACATGAACTGACTCGAAGGAAAACGCTTGTGTGCAGTACGCTTCAGCCTTCCAAGCCTTGGTACATCGAAAAGAATTTTCAAGAAAAGTAACTTACAAGCCTTCCAGTTTGAAGTGTCTGAGAGAGTATGATCTTGAAGAAATGAGGTGTCGCCGGTGTAAAACTTCGCCGGCGCCATACATCTTCTCTCCAGAGACGAGAAGTCATCCCTTGAGGAGAGTTGTTTAGTGAGTTGTAACATCCCAACCTTAGATTGTTCTGCGGCTTTATAGGAGCATTTAATTGGAGATGACATTCATTTATGGGACGAAAAGTCCAAAAAACAAATGAATGCTGAAGGAAGCTCATTAAGAAGGGGGACAATGCGGTTGTTGATCGAAATTGTATCAACAATAATGTTGGAGATGCTAAGACTTGTATGTAGCATTAGAGATACGGAGACTCAAATTTATAGAATTGATTTGCAAAGTGAAGTGCAAGATTTTTATCGAATGTTTAAATATGACCCACTTATATCTATGGGGAAAATTATCTAAAAAGTCCTAAACCTTTTGCAATTGTGCCAATTTAGTCCATCCGGGCACTTTTGGCCGGCCGGCGCTGATGTGGCCGCCGACCAGCTGACGTGGCAATATTTTAATTATTATTTTTTTAAAAAAAAAGAATTTCTCTTTCTTTCTTTTTTCTATCTTCCTTGGTCACTGGTCCGGGGAGAGGCTGTGGCCAGCGAGTCTCGCTATCGTGGGGCAAGGTAGAGCCTCGCCGTGGCCGGGCAAGCTCACCCGGCGACGGCGAGGCTCGACCTTGCCCGGCTACGGCCAAGTTCGCCCAGATCTGAGCTCGCCGTCCCCAAGCGAGGTTGAGCCTCGCCGTCGCTGGCAAGCTCGCCCCGCCATGGCGAGGCTCGACCTCGCTAGGCGACGGTGAGGCTCGACCTCGCCAGGCAACGGTGAGGCTCGACCTCGCCAGGCGACGGTGAGGCTCGCCTAGATCTGGCGACGGTGAGGCTCGCCTAGATCTGGCGAGACCTTGCTGTCGCCGGGCGAGGTTGAGCCTCGCCATGGTCGGGCGAGCTCGAGCTCACCCAGTGACGGCGAGCTCAGATCTAGGCGAGCTCAACCTCGCCCAGCCATGGCGAGCTCCGCCCTCACCAGAGCTGGGTGAGGCTCACTCAGTGATGGCGCCTCCCCAATGGCCGGCGAGGTCACCTCGCCGGCGAGCCTCCCCCTGGCTGGACCAGCCAGGGGGAAGAAGGAAAGGAAAAAAAAAGAGAAAGGAAAAAAATAAAAATAAAAAATTGAAAAAAAATTAAAAAAAAAATTATTAAAATATTGCCACGTTAGCCGGCTGGCGGCCACGTCAGTGCTAGCCAGCCAAAAGTGGCTGGATGGACTAAATTAGCACAATTGCAAAAGGTTTAGGACTGAATTGGTAAAAAAAAAGTTTAGGACTGAATTGGCACAACTGCAAAAGATTTAGGACTTTTTAGGTAATTTTCGCTATATCTATGTTAAGATGTGTATAGCTATTGAGACTGAAATCAATAGAATTGATTTGCAAAGTTACGCGTAAGATTGTCATTGAATGTTTGAATATGACCCACTTACTTTCATGCCGAGTAGTTGTGATATCTTAAGCATTAATAAGTAATCAGTGTAATCATCGCCCTTACATATTACTCTTGCTGAGACTTGCCAATGATTCATTTTTCTAAGTTGAAAAGGTGAAAGACTAGTCCTCTTGTGGAAATTCCTCCTTCAAAGTTAATGATGGCTTTTAGTCTCCAATTGCTAAAGTCTCCGAGCTAGGAAATGCAATCTGCGGTATTCACTCAAGGAATTAGTGATTTAGTCAAATTACGAACTCATGAACATTCCAAGATGTAAATATAGATGAATGCCAAGGGGAGAGGAGGATTACCAAGTTGCACAAAAGGAAAAAAAAGAAGAAGAAGAAGTAAAAAAAACCTCAACATTTAATGTCGTTTCTAATTTCCTAGAATATTTTATAGAACAACCAAAAAAAATAAAATTCTCATTAAAAAAGTTTACCTCAATTTTCATTTTCCATTTGGCTAAAACGGTTTCAGGTTTCACTTTGGACAAAAGCTTACCTTCCAAATTAATCTATGAACTCTAATACTGTCTTTGTTAGCCCGTGGGGTTTCTCTTAATTTCTACTAGTTCCACTATAGTTACAACATAAATTGAAATCGTAATCTATTTCAATTCGAATATTATATGCCCATCAATTGTTTGCATTAATCGTGAGACGGAGACAAAAACGACACAACAGGTCACAATGCTTCCAATGCGAGACCAAAATCTTCTTCATTGAACGCAAAATTTGAAGCTCTCCCTTCTTCTCTGTGACTTCGCGTGCTGCTTTCTCTGGCTCGAGGTCTATTGCGCATTCATTGAGATGGAGACGAACGACACACAAGAAGTCACAATGCTTCCATGAGACCAAAATCTTCTTTATGGAGACATTGAAGAGAGAAATGGAAGAAGCTCACAGAACAAATTTCTGGGAACGAAACCTTAATTCGTTGATACACGTAGCAGACAGATGTTGTATCTAATAAGCGCAATAGCATTCCATGAGACCAAAATCTTCTTTATGGAGACATTGAAGGGAGAAATGGAAGAAGCTCATAGAACAAATTTCTTGGAATGAAACCAATAAGCGCAATATATATTATATATATATCCTTATTTCTTCTTATTGTTTTACCATTTTCTCTTAATGCTCGCTCTTTTATTTAGTTTTATTTTATTCGCAACCATAAATCTCTTTTATTTAGATATCGAAACTATTAATAATTTTATTGATTTTATTGATAATTTAAAACAAACCATAGAACTCTATCAGAACTCTTGTTCTGATTCATATTCATCCACTTTCTTCAAAAGAAGACGAACAGAATAGTTTCATTCTTCTCTACTTATAGTCCCTAGACCCTAGGTGACTCTTATGGTATCAGAGCCAAGAGGGAAGATATAGTGACTCTTACTAAAATTCATCTGACAGTTGAGGCGATTTCTTTCGTGGAGATCTTTCTTATGTTCTTTGTGTGTTAGGTGTGGTCCCGGCAGTAAAACCTGTTGAGATAGTGAGACCGTTGGTCAGCATCTGTTAAAGAACAAAGTAGTCTCTTGCGATGAATTTATTAAGAAGATCTGGATCTTCTTCTAATTCTATATCACAAATGTCCTCCGATCAAGGACCATAAATAGAGAAGAAATTAGGCAAGAGTACACCACAAGTGCCATAACTTGTGTACGGCGATCACTTTGGTGCCATAACTTTTTTTCGGATCACTTTGGTACCAAGTCGAAGGAAAATAGATCACTTTAGTGACTCCGACCAAAATTCCGGCCAAAAAGTTGACCTGACATTTATATTTAAAAAAAATGGTCTGACTTGTACACGTGGAAATTACGTGGCTTTTTTTCGAATTTTTTAATTTTTAGAAAAACAATAATAATTAAAATAATAATAATATTATTATTATTATTATAAAATAAAATAAAAAGGTTGCAGCAGCGGTGAGGGCTCCCTCGCCTCTGCTGCCGCCACCGCCGGGAAGGGCCGGCGGTGGTGGGCGCAGTGGTCGGCGAGGTTGCCGGCCCTTCGCCGGGCCCGGCGACCCTCGCCGAACCCG